AAGAAAAGTTTGAACCATAACGTCCAACAGAGTTATTTTTTTTCAGCGTACGAAAACCTCTGAAAATTGAAATTTCTTTGCAGGAAGCTCCTGCACCTATGATTTGTCTTCTCAAAACCGACAGTTTATAATCCTCAATAAAATTGTAGCATTCCAAAAATAGTCATCCTGCCTCAAAATTTAGACACACAAGTTATCGGCAAATCAGTGTAGACCTTGCTTTTTCACTTGAACTCAGTCCTACCTTATTTTTCTCTAAAGCCCCAATGAGTTCATGCAAATGATGACCAGAGATTCCGAAACCTTCAGGTAAGGTGTTTCAAAATTCACCTTGTTCCGCAGGCGGATTCTTTATGGTGAACCCCCCGTAGGCATCGTTTTCAAGGAATGGGACCCATTCCACACCGGGCTCGAAGAGACCTTGCATCGTCTCTTGGTCGAAACCTTCCTTGTGGAACACGGCAACAGCCAACGAACCATCACCGTCTCCCACTTTTCCTTTCGCCGCGGCGAATTTCAATCTGGCGTCATTGTTGATCACTGCATCTAATTTGAACTGATGATGCGCCGACATTCTGTAATGACTCACTATAGCGTATACCTTGGAAACTGGAGATACAACATACTGTACGAATAAGCTCTCGAGATGGCATGGATGAATAAATGAACGACGAAATTGCAAATGGCCTCGCGACAGTGAGCACAGGATTTTCGAAGAATTTCGAAATCTAACGATAATGAAGAATATTCCCGTAGGAAGTTCGTGTGAAATAAAGCTGTCACCAAGTGACTGAATTCGTCAGACATTTTTTACCCTCGACAGGAAGCCAAGGATTGCCGACGGGGTCAGTTCCGTACCAAACTCCGAAAAACTATCATACTGTACTTTGAAAAATACTGAGCCATCACATTCACGGAGAGGTCTTCAAAAATCCAGAGATCACAGTTTCGAATCCTCAGAAGAAATACAGAAATCCGACACCATATTCAGAAGAGACCAAAACTAGAGTCTTCATTACACCCTATCAGAAAAACTAATGCCCTTCTTGATGCAACTGCTGGATAATCCACCACGAGATCAATGCACAATGAGAAATAAAGTTAATGCCATGCACATGAGCCGAAAATGTCTCCACCGGTTTCGCATGCCCATGTGCCAAAAAATAAACGAACACATCAAATTAACAATGAAAAAAAAAAGATGATAAAAACGTAATCAAAGGAGCACGGATGATTTAGGTTACGTATCACAGTTGAAAAATCCCTAGTATAGTATTTCAATGGCAACTAAAGCTTTGTCATCAATCCGAAACAAGACTTCCCTGTTCGCCAATATTCGTTTCGGCATTAAATACGATTTTGCGCATTCCACCCCCTCCCACGTAACTACACAGGACACAGCTGGTCGTACAGTACTTTTAGAATCAACTTTTCGTCATTTTCAGGATATCCCTTGAATTTACCGAATTTCACCTGACCATACTTATCTCACCGACAAAGAAACGCTATTACAAACACAGAGCTCTGACAGTGTAAGAAAAACTTTCCTGAAACAAAACGAAAACCTGCTGAATAGTCAAACTGAGACACGTCCTTTTCAGTTATCAAACCCAAGGAAATTACAAGCCTCACTAGTACCCTTTCTAAGGATCTGATTTCCAATGAGAAGTCGAGATTCCCCCTCTAATCAAAAGAGTAAATCCCACAGTGCTTTTCAAAATTTCCTCTCTTCGTATCAATGATCTATTGTCGCTTCACTTGAGCAAACTTTTTTCAGAGATCTCAAAATTAAGTTCAGAGACGGGACAGAGATGCTACAATTGACATCAGATCTAATCCTGTCCTAACACCAACGATTAAAGAACAGACACTTTTCTGTCCCACTCGATTACCTAGCATCGGAAGAAAGTCGAGAAGAGCTCGTAAAACGGTAGAAGATGAAGAACAGTGGATGGTGCGGGAAGCCTCAAGTGGAAAAATCTACCTTTCAACGTTTCAAGGAAATCTCGGCGAGCGCTTCCTTTTTCGTTTCGTAAACTTGAAATTCCAGAAGTAGAATGACGACGAAGACGGTTGAGAAAATGACCAGTGAAAAAGAAAGCAACAGACTCGCAACAATTATTTTTCTTAGAAAAAAAAAAGAGAAGACTGGAAGCCACATGACACGTGTTCGGAATGTCTCAAGAAATTTAAAATTCCTCAGTGTTGTCCAGTTTTTTTTTCCTTCCATTTCTTTCAAGATTTTCAAACCAAGTTTTACCCGGATCAAGCGGCTTTCTTCCAAGAAAACCACGGGAAGAAACGACGAAAAATTTCGTTGGCGAGTCGTCAGACCGGCTCCGGAACAGGCGTCGGAACTTGTTCTCGCATCGTTAGCGACGGTCGACACCGACGTGAGCGAAAAAGCCACTGGAATCTCGACAAGCCTTGGTTCATCCGGCGGTTTGAGGCGGTGCAATGCGGAGGAGTTGTGGCAAACCTTTTTCACATGCGACAGAATCATGCATCAACGTTGCAAGAATTTACAAAAATTCTTTCGTGCGCGGAAACAAAAGTATTCCTCGCAGAGCTTGCTTCTATACTAGTATTGAGTGGGGCTCCTCACACTGTCCTTGCTTTATGTTTCGAGAATAACACAGGTGAACTGCTATCACGCGAACTTGCGTCACTCATGAAAATGAAATGATGAAAAATACTCATGGTCCCACAGGGTTTTCTCGCCATCTTAAAAGGGTTCTTGACAACAAAATTCTGTGGAGGCTTGAGGGAAAAATTTGTCCAAGTTAGGGACTGAAAAAAAATTTGACATATGGAGGTTGAACTGTATACAGTGAGTCCCTGAAAAAAAAATTAATCTGCTCCTGGGTGTGTTTTGTTATACAGAAATTTTGTAACGCAAAACAAAAATTCTCTCAAGAATGCATTGCAGATCATTCAATTTGTTCCAGAAGCTCACAAAAAAGCCACGATAAAAAATTATAGCTATTCATTTTTCCCAGTTTTTTGCATAAAATTGTGAATTTAGAAATCATGAATATGAAATTTCAAGTAATCCTGATGGAACTCTGCTTCAACTTTTTTTCTGAATTTCATCAATTATAAATGCATAAAGAGAAAAAAACGATGTCCTGTTTTGCTCAATTCTTGAAGAAACCAAATTCCGACATTTTAGTCAAAACTTGGTGAAAATTGAGCATTCTCTGGCCATAAAATTCCATAATAAAAACAAATTCGTTGTGTGAGTCACTTTTCCCCCCAGGTAAAATTCCGTTATGCAAATTCTTTCTTGTGCCAACCTTCTCTAACGCCCGGGGACTCGTAGAATTTTCCCTTTACGAGATCCTGTATCACACTATTTTTCCCTTACCGACGACAGCAGAGCCGCTTCTTGATGGAATGTGTGATTTCCTGTCGCATCTTGGTGCTGCCTATGAGCAACATCGTGGGGTGCACCAAGAATTCCCCGTAGACCAGAAAGTCGCACAGTAAGATGACCACGGGCGGGAGCCCGAACCCGTGCAACCCAACCACCAGCATCGCCGGGATGTAGAAGATGAAGTGGATAAAAGTGTTGATGAACGATGTGACCGTCGCACTCTCCAAACGCTGCAACTCGCCCAGCTTCACATCCGTACCCGGGGGATGCTTCAAGGAATAAGGATTACAAAAATACATCGTTCAAGTGTCAATCTCACGCCTTGAATCAGATCAGGCAACAGAACGTTCAAATAACCAAGCCGAGCATCTCGCACCCGGAAATGCAGTAGAATGTCGTTCATATTAAAGAAGCGGAGAAAACTTCAATTAATATTTTCAATCAGATATTTCCACGAAAACGGTGGGGCAATTTCGAGATGTTTGCGCGTAGGTCTCACTGATAAAAATAACATTGCTTTTGATCGTGGAAACGAGGCCAGTCTACAACTACAAATTTCAGTAACTTCGATCTGAAATAAAGGAAAACAATTTCCTTCCGATTAAAAATAGCGAAAAATGAAGCAATTTTTCCGTCAAGCAAGCGAGGAGACAGAAGAGAATCTACCAAAACAAAAAATAAGTATGATGCCTTGACCAGAACTACAGTACAGTACAGTGAGTACCCGCATAACGAACACCCAAAAAGAAACGAAAATTCGGCGCAAGGAAAATGTAAAATGGGGATAACTTGACTCATATTATAAAATTATTGAAAAAAAAATTTTGCCTTAAAAAAGCGCACATTTCAACAAGTTTTGAACTGGAATTTCCCAAAAATAAAAAAGCATAGCTTCACAGCTTTTTCATCTTTAAAATTTGAGAAATAGAGTAAGTTGTGAGCAAGAGGCTTCAGGATCACTTCAATTTCAGCTAAAAAAAATTTGAATTTACTATATCCTGCTTTAAAAAACTACACGAATTATGGTCTTTGGTGAGCGGCCAGGAAAATCTGAATCGAAGACGACTCTGGGGACAGGAAGCCTTGGAAGAAGGTTCTCGTATTTTCCAAGTTTTTCTGGTATTCTAAATTCAATAGTTTTCCCAGTTCATCCATGGGTGATTTT